TGTCGTGACATTGCGGCTCGAACGGGGTGCGCTGCTACGCCAGTGATGCGTGTGCGGAACCAGTGAGTAGAGGAGGGGTATGCACAGCGACGAGCGGGTCCCGGACCACGCAATGGGACCATATCGCGAGATGACCGCCATCTTGGTGGCATGGCCGTAACCGACAGAACGGCGTTGTTCACAGTGTTGGCTCGACTTTGGAGTTCTACAACGGGAGTGGTCATGTCTTTGTCGACGGTTAGACGCCACCTGTTGAGGGGTGGACGGGTGGCACGCATAACACTGCGTTGGATTCCGTTGGTCAGAAACCACCAATGTCTCCGACAGCGATGCGCACGTGAACGTGTTCTGGTATGCGGAGTGGCAAAATGTAGTGTTTTCGAACGAGCCCCTCCTCAATTTGTGATACAGTGATGACTGTGTTCGATGCTACCATGTGCTACCATGGTGATTGCAATCTGCCAGCCTGCATTGTTCCGTCCAAGCGATCCACCACCTCAGCCATGACAAGCTCTAAACTCCCAACCGATGTGTGTGGTAGTGGAGTACATGTAAGTGTGTGTGTGTGTGTGTGTGTAAGTAACGGGTAAGGATAGAAAGGAAGAGGAAAGAAATATTGCGCGCGGTCCGTTTGTTAGAGTACCTAGAGAAATCTACTCATCGGAGCACATTGCCTATTCAACTCCAGTCAGAGGATGAATTCGACCTAGCACCTAGCTGTGTCGATAACTCGGTCAGAGGGACTCGACACTCTGGTCAGAGGCACTGCAGTTGATGGCCTGATCCAGTTCCACTTAGCGTGACTTAAGCCGGTTCAGAAACCTATTATTCGATAACTCTTCATGAAACTTCCCCTCCATGGCGACCTTACTAGCGTAGACAGCTTCGTCAGTAAACACTGACATTTTCAAAATTACCAGAGGGTAAATGTAGAGACAAAGTTTTATTAGAATAAGGAAGTTGACTCGACGAAAAATGATTGCGATCACAATCATTCATAGATTCGTTATTTAATGCGATGAAATAATACCAGGCTGTGCCAGTCAAAAGTAAAATAACTTAATACTTATCAGACGCAGATATTAACACAGTATAATTTCCTGTTCCATGTCGTTCATGGCACATGTTAAGCCAACAAACAAGAAGACCTTCACAGAAAATACCCGGAAATTACAATCAATAACTGCTTCCGACCTAAATGTGGCTGCGATGCACTAGGATTTTCTCGCATTTTCAAGAGTTTTCATATTTACCTCAGGTGTTATACATCTTGTACGTAAAACAATCAGGTAGGATTATCTACATCTAACAGTTTAGCGTGACGCCTCTGGCAAGTATTTTCACAGTAAACAGTTTATATGTGCTATGAAAGCTAGAGCAGTGTGTGACTCCTCCATCCTCAGGTATGAATATATTTTTTTAACGTTTGTTTCATTATTTTTATTTATTTTCACTCTGATGAATCACCTCTTAACGGTTTGTGTTATGTTTGAAAGGCAATAATTGCCTTAATTACTAAATTATTTAGTAAATCACGGCGTTTCAGCACTGGAGATGCTTTAAAACCCACAAAATACTTAATGGAAACGGAATTCACAAACGTAGCAAGAATTGTTACACATCAAACTGGCAACGGAGCGCGTGCGTTCTTATCATCATCCTTGTTCTCTGCTTGACCCATGCATGCACGCGCGCGTATACACACACACACACACACATACATACACACATTACCAGACATATGGGAAGGTTGCCTAATTTTGACAAATTTTCCTTTTTTGCTTTACTTTGTAAAAAGAGAAAGTAGTGTAATCGTTTATTTCAAATTCAATATATCAACATTCAAAATATATTTTAATTACATTGTTTCTGGTAAATAGGAATGGAAAAAAACTGAAAGTGTGCAATTGGTTCAAATTGGGATATCGATTCCCTCATTTGGACTCATAGTCTCTTAAGTTGGACCTCAGAAGAATTGCACGAGTGATAAATGTATTGGAAAATTGAATCCGTTTATTGAAAATAACATAAATACATTCAGTCGTTATATCCAGACGATAAAGAAAAAATAATATTGTCGAATTACATTACAGAAATTACAGTTTTATTGAGAAAATATAATTGACAGTGCGCGCCTTTATTCAATGGATTTTATTTATCATTCTAATATTCTTAAAATCCTGAGGCATTTACACCTCATTCTAATAATCAAGGCAATCTAAAGGCGATCATTGTAATATTTTAAACTGAATTTGCCTGCCAGGTTAAAATATTCCAATTTAATGAAAACACCATGTAGTACTACGAAAATGAATAAGTACCGAACTACTTATTCGATAAAAAAACTTCTAACAGACTTCTAAAAACCAACGTGGTGGCTTGTTACATATTTCATATCTGCGACCTTCCTCAGGGCGTAATGCGACTGCAGGGCATTACGCCCTGAGGAAGGTCGCAGAATGGCGACCGAAACGTCGGCACCTTCGCCATGACAGTCAAGCGGCACCCGGACAGTCAAGAACTGACGAATACTGACTCCGGCCGCGGAAGCCTTCGCTATTACTTTATGCTGGATTTTATTTTAGCACACCGAGTGTGAACTTATAATCTACATGCCAGACATACTACCATATCTTCAATTTCCTTTTCACATTTTGTTCAAAATCAGCTATCTTCAACATTATTGCGAAATGTATCCCGTAACATTATTGCTGTGATCTCGAGAACTTAAACTTTTTTTATATTCTTATATTCATGCCTTAACTTTTGTATTGTCATATTTGCTGTTTGGATGTACTTGTTCGTTAAAAGTGATTATTTACTGAACTGATTATTTACGAGTACATATATTCCAATCCGTTGATTTCCACTGACACGATAGTACATTATAAAATAATGCTTTTCGAGAAACTTTATTTGACATTATTTAAAGCACATGAACTCATAAATGCAATAAAGTGAACAAATTTCCGATCATATAAATATTTACGACGTGAGAGATAAGTAAAAAATACATTTTCGTATTTTTTTAAAGCAAAAGAATAGAGGAATATGGCGTTTATGTCATCTTATATTACATTCATATTACATACATATTACATACATATTACATTCAGCACTATTCCTGACCAAAAGTTTAAGGAAAAATTTGAAACCGGTTTTGAGAAAATCTTGTGTTTGTAATTTTTTACGGTTGCACATATTGCTCGCACTATTGCGTAAAAACTACTATTAAAAAAAATGCACAAGACGTGAAAGAACTCACTACAGAGAACATATTTTATTTGCAGGAAAACTCTTCAATTTGTAGTTGTAGGAAGACGTCTGAAAAATTTTGAAATTTTCAAAAGTTCAGAGTGACCTGACAATCGGACCTACGAAACTTTTATAAGTGTATATTACCCAATTTTTACAGGAATTGTTTTAAAACATTTGGGCTGTTTTGGGGAAAATTTTTAAATTGTCCGTATATACGTAAGTATATGGGAGAGTTAAAACAGACAACGCTGTGCAACTACTTCAAGGGCAACATTGGTCTTACTACGCGAAGCTAATGAAATACATTTGCAACGTCTCGCATAATTGCAATTGCAGACTCCCTCTGCACACAATGGCTTACGATATACAGCAGGAAAATATTAAGACACAACAAAAACCATGTAACACTCATTTTACTTATTAAAATGGCAGCTATTCACAGAAAATTGACTAACAATCCCATCTACAAGCATTAGAGCTAATTCCCAATGCTCTAATGTATTTCGTACGTGAGATAACCTATTTCGGACATTTCCCCCTTCGGAGCATTTCTATCCGGTTGGGTCGGTGCGTCCCTGGGGAGAGGGAGAGAGAAACTCCGCAAGGCGACGTGTAGGTCGCCCTCAGATATTGTTCCAGCGGAGGAGGACGCCGCTATCTCCCCGCTCTAACACGCCGGGGATAAAGTCGCGACAGGAAACCCGAATTATCATTCACTCATTCAATAAGTTTTTAAATCTCTACGGTATGAGTCACCCGTGGCAACTTGTGCAAATTCTTAAATCAATTTTTCGGTTCTCTGTGAGATACCTTGCGGTCGTTCTGACCTAGAAATATGAGGGTCACCTGTGAGTGACTAAATTTAACTCGAGTGGAGAGCGGGCATGAAAGACGTGAGTAGCGACATGCGATTGCGTGTATTATGAGTTGTCCGCAGGCACTGTTGTTTGCCATGACCAATGGCAAATCATTTCATATTTATAATTCTTCTAATAAATTATGGACATACAAAATGATTGTCCTGGGTAATCAAATTATTTTACGTTTGTTCAATGTTTATGTTGTACGTTTATTTTAATTGCTCGTTATTAAACAGTTTTAATTAATTATCACAGTTTACGTTTCGGCAAAGAGTTTTATTTGTGTTTAGAATCTATAAAATTGTTTCACTATATTAACGAAATTTCTTTAATTCAACTTCTTCAGTAATATGTATTTCTGTAATTATTGTTTTACTTTTAAAATAATTTATATAAAATATAAATATTTTGTTCCAAGTAAACAGCAACTATATAAACTATAATTACTCAACTTTCAATTTTCAATTTCACTCCCCTTCCGCAGTCCGAAGTGAACCTACTATTTCATGTCCATCTAATTTGTGCACTTACTGTAATTACATTCAATTGATTATTTCATTCGGGTGGAGTCCCTGCTCAAACATGAAGAGATAGATACTGCACGTCACAAAATTATTTACCTGTCAATGTAGTTTAGAGAAGGGGACGGCCAGTGATAATTGATGTCACGTAGAAGGAAGGGTTGGTATTGCATTTCGTGATTACTAAACAGACTCATGACTTTACAATAAATATTTTAAAATAGTCGTTCTTAAACTTCAATTAAATTTTTAGCGAAATTTAATTAAAATTTGAGTCTTTGAAAAAAAAGAAAAAAAAACAATTACTTATAAAAGTTAGTGTATTTTACTAATTCCCAATTTTGAATAGTGGATTACGTACCAATTGACTGAAACCAAAAAAAACTATCTAATAATATCTTCATATATTAATGTATGAAGCCCTTGTCACATTTTGAGAAGGCGGAAAACAGCAACATTGATACTGTCAAACATTTCTCAAAACCGAGAGAATGTAATATTGAATTGACTTATCCATAAAAAAAGTAAAATATGTATGACGTACGGGGAGAAGTATAATCTGCGTACGTTTTTTGAGTTTCAGAATCCCTTTCCCGTTTTTTACTATAGAGTTGAATTGTGAAAAAAGTTACCAATAAAAAAGATATAAAAGACTATGTGGGAAATAGTATTTTATTTTATTTACATTATTTTATTTTACAGTGAGAGAAAAAACAAAAGAAAGTAACATTACAGATATCGGGAGTAGTCTCCTCCGACGACGAGTCTAGTATATTTATAATCTACCTACTGGACACTAATATTTCTTTGAAATAAATTATGTCAATGAAGGTGAATGGAGAAACGCAAATAGTTTGTGAAAATATTGCCGCCCTTCGTAGACTCCGCCGCTTGCCGGTGTTTCAAAAGGTTTATTCTTTGTCTTGCAGTAAACATGGAAATTCACGAACTTCTCATTCAGGTACCTGAAATGAGAGCGAAGCAATAGGTGAATCCGCACGATTAATATATGAACGAAATGAATTGCCCGTCGTTTATTACATAGGAAAGTTCGCTCTTGCCCTCTAAATCTGAAGGTCAGGTCCGTGACGTAACAACTGCGAATGTATTAAACAAGCGGCGCCCAATCAATAGCCTGTACCTGGCGGCGGCGTGGCCCCTCGGGCTCCGGCACAGTCGCGGAGCAGGGCGCCCGCACGCCGTTGCCGGCCGGAGCCGCCAGGTTGTGCAGCTGTGCAGGCGCCATGGTCGGCGAGCAGCCGCAGGCGACGCCCGAAAGGGCCTGCCGTCGCTGTTGCAGCGCGGCCGCACCCGGCCACGCAGCGCGCGACCCACACCCCCCGCCCCGCCACGCAACCCCCGCGCCGGCCCCCCCCGCCTCCCTCGTGCGGATCCCGCTGCGCTCGAGCCCACCGCTGCGACAGCGACCTGGCGCCACGGTGATGCGCCCCGCCCCGCACCACCACACACGCGCCTCACAGAGCTCCAGGAGATCCAGGAACTGGAGAAGACCTTTCATCCGCGGATAACACTCAAAGCTGGACACAACGCCAACGTGAGCGGCAAAGAAATCCTTGCAGTATCAAAACACCCCACCATGACGCAATCCAAGCCGGAAGAATCCATCTAAATCGTCAGTTTAGTGGCTGCTCGAAAGTATCCCTGACGCTCCAGCACGAAGCTCACGCTGACTGTAACCACCAGTACCCAAAACTGCTGCTAGCAGATTGTCCCAACAATGATTAGGATGAAAATAAATGATCCATTCTGTTCTCCACGAACACAAACTTCCATCATCAGAGCTCCTAGAAAGATGTGAAGAAGATTGAGTTACTCACAGGATAACTTCCTTTTCAAAACACGTTCCAAGCACTTTAAAATTTATTATTCTAAATGCAATTCCCAAGTTAATAGCCAAAAGAATTTGCGTGACAGAAATTTTTCAAATTAAATGATTTATTTCTCTTACGTATTATTCAGATGGCGAAGGAGGCGTGTTTGCTTTTACATAATTTAGTTTTCTATACGGCATCTTTAAATTCAACATATATCTTTCACCTGTGAAGCTTTCCTCTTAAAAATCACGTATATTCATTAAACCAATAGAACTTGATAATCAGAAGCAACTTAATTTTAATTGTCTCACCATACTAATAAAAAAGAAAATTTAGCACGTTTCCGTTTGTCGGAATGTTCGTTTTTTCATCTGTCTCTCTAAATATGTTTCAGAATCTGAAATTACTGTCCAAAATGAATTTATCTCTCTTCTACATATATGTGTAAGATTTGATGTCACACTTACAATAACAAATATTTGTAATGCTCTCTTACCAGTATCATTACAGATAAAAAAATGAAATTTAAAAGAGATAGTTTTCATGCACGAACATATATAGAAAGGAAGTGGCGGGCAAGAATATACGACATGACCTTTAATAATCATCAATAAATTCCATGTTAACGTACTTAAAATATTAAAGAAATTAATACTACCCTTAAAGAGAGCGCTTATACCGATCATAAAAAAGACCGAAGAAGTTTGCCTCATACTTACACTCTAACATCGAGCTTATGTCCAGGTAATATCTATTATTTGTTTCAAGCTATTCCCTGCCATATTGACAAAGACATATTTATAAACATTGTCTTTACTGACGTGGTATTAAAAGAAGCTATTTCAAGATAATAACATAAAAAATTGAAAGTAAAACCGACAAATTAAAAAATGTAAAAAGAAAAATGTATTAAAATTCTAAACGTCATTTTACGTATTGAAACATATATTAGCCAGAGATCGTGATCGGTCTAACAAACTAGACATCCATCTGCTATCTGACTGGATCTCCTACCATATTTGATTCGGACGTTTGAGACCGGATGAGTCCAGGAAAAGTGACGCGATCTTTTTATTAAAGACTTTTACGTAAGGAGTTAAAAAGGTTTTACACGCGATATCGTGTAAAACTTTTTACTCACTACAAAAGAGCATTTCTAAAAGGAGCTAAACACTCCAGCATGCAACCAAAGACGCACTTCATTCAATGTGAGTCTGTTACAAGTCTGCGATTACGTACACCTCAGCTCTATTATTCTGAGAAAGCCAAATCAAATTATTTTGCGCCCAAACCTTCCAGTTACTAATATAATCTGTCGTAACACACTATAATCAATCTTAATTATGTATTTCATCCTATATTTATGAGTATATTCGGGTGATAGGACTTAAGATTCTCGACACGGTGTACGGGGAATAAAAGGTTAGATAGACATTACGGGACACCTGTAGTTGGCGTGTGGTGGTGAGTGAAGAGATAGTGGGGAAATTTTTCTGTGTGGGTGGGGGGTTATCTGATGACCGCAATCACTTGATTTTTGTTTGTTTTTTAAGGAACAACAGAGCATATGTCTATTGGCACGCTTAACAATTGATTTCGGGAATAATGATCACACGATTGCAGCTGGCGAACGATAATCAATCTCTTGTAAGCCATGTGGCGCGCGTCGCGCTCGCTTTTCCAGCGACAAGGATTTCACCTCGTCACGGCTTTCATCTTCTTACCCTCGCTCGAATGTCGGTTTCGATCCTTGAAGCAGGATTCTGAGAAAAAATGGAGGAAACTTGCAGCGCATTATGGGGTCATAGATGAATCGGTATTTGCCGATGAACACTGTGATAAATTTCATATTAAAAAAATCCCGTGTTCGGTGCTGTTACATAGACGTTCTCTTCTTACTACAGTACTTTGTAAGCGAGAACATTCAAAAAAATAGATGTAAAATTTGCGCTCTGTGGTAGGCACGCTCAGCGTGCACTGCATTGCATGTCTGAATCTATCACATAGAAATATTATTTCCTTGTTTGACAAACTCAAAGCATTGCCGGGTTGTCTACTTAATCAAGCGGGCAAATGGACAGTGCTTAAATTCCTATCACAGTGTTTTATTGTAAAAACTTATCTTCCACACTCCCTATCTCTAGGAAATTGTAACATTTAGCTGAACATTCTGTAATCGACACAGTTCGATTTATATTTAGATTTATTTAGTCAAAAGCAGTAAAAACTGTATTTAACGTATGGGAACGAGAAGATCATCTGCGCCACGTTTATTTGAGATCTAGAATCCCTTCCCATCATGTTTAACTAGAATATTATCGAAAAATATGAGTCCAAAGTTAAAGATAATAACGATAAAATTTAAAAAGCGCAACTTAGCGACATTTGAAAGACTAGACATTTCATTACCCGAGTTATAAACACTTTTTGCCAAAACTGGTAAACGAAGTGCAGATTTGTTTTCTGTTATTTTCTAACAAAATAGTTAACTCGCCCTTAACCTCTACCGCTACAAGCAAAAGGGGATGACGAATGAGCGTGTAAAATGCTTCTCCTCTTTTCATCCAGTTTCCCGACACACGAAATCAGCTAGCGCAAGAATATGAAGTTCCTCTTTCTATCCAATTTTCTGTATCCAGAAAGATGAGAAAAACGGATCGTGTAAAAACGCGCTTTAGGGTCACAGGAATCCACAAGACTTTCCATGTGAGTTGACTTTGACGCTTTTCACCCACACTGCTCCTGTATCGCACCGGGCATTCCATTATATCTGATCTTCACCGTATCGGGTGTCCGGCAACCGAATAAAAATCAAGTATAAAGGGTTTATACATATACAGGGTTGGCAGTATTAGGCTTATATTTTGAAATATGTAATAATATACTTGAAAACTATATTTGAGTTTTTTGGCATGTGTTTAGAATTACATAAGTAGGTGTATTTAAAGAAGAATACTTTAAATACAGACGAAAAAGGAGATAGTCAAACAATATAGTTTCTTTTTAATTCCGCTAGTGAGCTCTTCATTGAAACAAAAATAAAAAGCTCCTTTAAAACTTACTTGGATTCTCTTCATTGTAAAATGATAATCTAAAATCACTGTGAATCAAATAATCCCCAAGATATTTGTTTATAATCCATATTGACAATAAATACTGCAAATATACTCTATCGTGAAAGTAAAGCTTCCACCTAATACTTGTTTTTGCTCATTACACTCTTCCATACTTATTGATTTCATTTTAATACAATATATTCCAAGTTTATTACATAATCTTAGCGGCCACCTGAAGATAGAGACGCGTAGATCGAAAATCGTTGTAGTCAAAATGTGTGGTAAAATTAAAACAACTTTCCTATTTTTATGGACTGAATTCCAAACTTCAACTTGGTTGTCTATAATAAAATGCATCTTTTTGTTAATTACAAGAATGATAGACAAGCAATAGAAAACTTACGAAAAATCATAAATCATTAAAAATGCTCTTTAATCAACATAAAAAAAGGTTTATTCGTTTACACTATTACTTCATTCACCTAGATAATGACTCTACTAGGGCTAGATGCCTACAGGGTCATTGTCTGATGATTGTTGCATAAATTAGTCGTTTTAAAAAGGAAAAATTCCCATTTCTTCTGATTAGACATAGTTTGATTTTTGATATTTGAAAAGTTCATAATATGCTTAAACAATACATTACAATTATCTTATTATTCAGACTTCAATTACTAATTTACTAGTAACTACAATTACATTATCACTTCTTAAAGAAAAAATATACAATAAAAAATTGTGTATATATTTACAGTATTTTGGATGTTATTTAAGTATTTTAAAAAGGTTGTATTTAGCGCGCAAAAAAGTCCATTTGTGATATTATTAAATAGCTATAAAGTATTTTGACGAAGTATTTAAATACTCAGTTTAAAGTATTTGCCCACCCTCAGTGTAAGTACATGAATTTACAAAGGAGAAAATGAAAAGAGTCCGAATATCAGTGTCACGAATCCTAGTACCACGCAGCGTCCGGTCACCAGTCTTGCGAACGCATATTCAGTTGATTCTGGTCACGGGCTTTGTTGTTTTAGTTCGTCCATAATTCTTGACTAATGTGAATGATAGACTCAATCCAAAAGAAGTTTTGGCGTTACTTCAATGCATACTGAGTTCTTTAACGATACCTTCAATAAAAAATTTAAAGCGCTTTATTTTAACCTGAACACAATCTATTATCCACATCGCATTAACCTATCCATACTTGCTGAAGATTACTTCAGCGCAAGATTTTTCAGAAAAAAAACTCAGGACGCCGAAATCGCATCATTCGTACCCAAACGCTACTGAGTAAACAAATGTTCGCGTTGGATTTTGAACTCAGAGAAGTCAAATATTCCCAGAAATCCAGTCTGATTAACAGACAATCAGACATTACCTTTAGTTACTCAACTTTTTAGAATCCATTCAAATTAATTCCGCATTTATACGCGTATAATTTTGGCTTGTACTACAACCACGCATTCCGTGTGGACGATTAATTATCTGACATCGCATCGGCCACTCTAGCATCGCAATTTCCAGTAAGCGAACTGAAACACCGCTGCATTATTAGCTCAGAAAAAAACATGTCCACTGTTAACGCTGTCTTTAATAGACGCGCGTGTGTATCAGACTTACGATACCTT